CCCCCCCCAGGGCTCTGCACCTGGCTGACCCCCCCCAGGGCTCTGCACCTGGCTGAAGGTCACGCAGCGTCTCCCAGCAAAGCCAGGGCTTCGTACACCCAGTGGAAGATGCTTGGGGACCATCTTAATCAGCCTTGGATCCCCACACCCCACCATGACATGGTACAAGCAGGCCCTCCATGTTTGCAAAATGAGACATCTTCTCAACCTGCAGCAGGCCCATTGCTAAGTGATCCAGCTCACACCCTGTAGCCTTCCCCAGGCCTCCAGCTCCCCACGGCTTCTGGGCCCTCTGGTTCTCCCCAAAACTCCCTCCTTCCACCCTCTAACCCCGTGGTCCCTGGACTTCCAACAATCCCAACCCTCCTCAGCACTCCAGTCCTATGGCTCTCCAGCCCCCATCCTCCTGCTCCCCTGTCCCCGAGCCCCATGTCTCCCCAGCCTCCCTGCCCCCCAGCCCCCTTGCCCCCCAGCCCTATGGCCCCCAGCTTCCCTGCCCCCCCAGCTCCATGGCTCCTCAGCCTCCCAGCCCCCCAGCCCCGTGGCTCCCCAGCCTCCCAGCTCCCAGCCCCATGGCTCCCCAGCCTACCTGCCCTATGCCTCCCAGCCCTTCGGCTCAACTCATGGATCACCTCTAACAATTTGAGTTAGATGGGCCACTAGAGATTACCTAGCCTAAGTCTCTCATTTTTCAAAGGAGGATCCTAAGACTCAGAGCAGCGGATAGGCCTGACCCAAGGCCATGGCAATGGGCACATGCCTTCCCTCACAGAGGAGAAGACTGAGGCCCAAAACAGGGCAAAGGCCCCACCCACAACCGGGGGCCCCTCACCGATCTTCTTGTTGACATCACTCTGCGTTCTCTGGGTGGTCTTTTCGATCTCATCCACCAGCCTCTGGCTCTCAGCCACGAGGCGCTCGGACTTTGCACGCTGACATTCAGTGCTGCTGTACTGGCTCTTGTTAGCAACGTGCCACTCTGGCAGCAGGAATTTGGGAGGGGCTTGTAGCAGTTTGGCCATGATGGCTTTCTGGGTCCTGGAGAAGAATAGCAGGCCCTCAGCAGCCCTTGCAGGCCCCGAGCAGGCCAGCAGCCACCTCCCTGCCCAAACCCCGCTAGAGGCCCAAAGCCCCTCCACAGGCCAGCGCTGCCCACCTTTCCCCCTCACACTTCCAAGCGCATCATTACTCATCCTCTGGCCTCCAGACATATAAGACTACTCGCCACCACCATGCAGCAATGTCTGAACTTTTCTGTCTTTGCCCATCTCAGACACTGAAACCCCAGCACTCCCTGATTTCCTCAGGCACCTCCCTTGTGTGTGCTGGTGTGCCAGGGCGTGTTGGCTGGACACTGATTTACTCATGTACCCTGGAGCCTTCTCCTGTCCCCTTCTCATTGTTGGACTCTCCCTCCCCAGTGCCTAGCACAGTGCTCTGCACACAAAGGGGGACCCAGAAGTGTTGCTTGAATTGAATCCTGCTGGAGGACATGAAGGACATCCAAGGAGACGCAAACCCTGCCTCCCCAATCAGTTTTCCAGACTTTGGCAGAGTATTGGCCAGGCCTTCCTAGAGTTCACTGACTGTACACAACTTCCCCAACCTCACACCAGGCTTTGGTTCAAGATGGAGAAGGGGAGCTGCGCCCCATGGTGTGGCAACTCCCAGGTCAGTGGTAGCCTGAAGAGAGGTCTTGAGCCAAGAGTCCCAGGGCTCTAGCCCCAGCCCTGCTCTGCTAGGCAATTCAGCAATAAAAAAAATCAGGACACAGGGCACGCTCATCTCATCTGCGGGATCAAAGATGGACAGCTAATATGGAAGAGAGCACATCTTGGACCCAAAGAGGTTTCCTGGCCAGATGGATTGGGGGATGGGTCAGGCCTAAGAGGGTAAAAATGAACAGAGATAAAGAGAAGAGGATGGGGAATTTCAATCATGAATTTTGACTTGATCTGTTAAAATGTCCTAAAAATTCTGGCTTTCCAAAGTGGAAAGGGTTGATTCAAGAGGTAGTGAGCTCCCCATCACAGTTGGGTGATACTCAAGAGGAATATTGACATGGTTCAGGCACTGGCATGAAGTCATTGTAAGTATGGAATGAAGAGGTAGTTGGAGGAGGCTGGAGAAGAGACTAGGAGACTAGGCAGAATAGAAGAAATCAGAGACCAATGTTTACAGAGCCAAACCCAGTGAGGGAAACAGCAGCTGGGGGGCTGAGTGGACTGCAAGCAACATGATGCTTCAAAATGTTTGTTGATGGGCTGATAGATTGAAGAAGTAGCCACAGAAGATATGCCCAAGGGAGGGTATGTATCTTGGAGCACTAGGCTAGTGTGTTCAGTTCTGAGGGAGAACTTTTTATTAAGGACACTAACAATGATAAAGAGGCTGCCCAGAATCTTGCAGAAGAATGGGCTGCTTAGCTTGGAAGGGCTCCTCCTGAAGGGCAGCCTGGGCCACAGTCCAGAGGCTAGGCTCCACCTCATCTGGCAAGCTCTCTAGCTCTCAAGCCCCACCACGACACTCACTGCCTTTCTTGAAATGTGGCATGGACCCCAAAGACTTTGGCAGGTGCCTTCTTAATTCACATGGGAAAAAGGGAAGGGGGAAGGAGGGAAGGACAAAGGGAAGGGGGAAGGACAAAAAGAAGGGGGGAGGAGAAGGGAAGGGGGAAGGAGAGAAGAAAAAGGGAAGGGGGAAGGAGAAGGAAGAAAGGAAAAAGGAAGGAGGGAAGGAAAATGGGAAGGGGGAAGGACAAATAGAAGGGGGAAGGAGGAGGGAAGGGGGAAGGACAAAGGGAAGGGGGGAGAGCATTACCCGTTTGCCCCTGCAGATTCCCCCTTCCCCTTCAGCATTACCCGGTTGCCCCAGCAGACCTCCCTCCCCCCCATTCCAGCAGCATTATCCGGTTGCCCCAGCAGATCTCCCCCTCCCCCTCAACATTACCCGGTTACCCCAGCCTCACCCCGGCGCGCTGGAGAGCGGACTGTCAGGAGCTGCCCCCGGCCTCGGCAGCACCAGGTCTGCGATCTGCAAACACGCTGGTTCCCATGGCAGCCAGGAATGCGTCTCCCGGGCGACCCGACTGGGTTCCAGAGGAGGCGCCGCCAGGCCTTATTGCCTCCGCCCCCCCCACCGGGCCCGGGTTCGAGCGCGCGGCCCAAGCCTCAGCGACAGCCTCCCGCGCCGCCGTGGGGCAGAGGGGGAAACTGAGGCAGGATGGGGGAAAGATGGGAAGGGACGGCAGGCCCCGGCTCAGGCACGTCCCTAGCCTCTCGGAGCCTCAGTTTACCGGTCCGTAAATGTGGACGCGGCGGGGCTCTCACAGCCCGCCCTATTGGGCTGGAGTGAGGGCAGAATCCCTCAGCGAAGGGGACGGTGGTGAGCTCCCCGTCCCCAGAGGGCTCCCGACAGAGGCTAGAAGGCTCCGTGCTGCAGAAGGCGTCCTCTTCGGGGCTGGGGGAAATGGTCCGCAGACGTTTGCCGCTCCCGAGAACCTCAGTCTCCCCACCTGTCACCTGCGGGGATCGCCTGCTCAGACTCGAGCCTGGATCGGTCCGTTCCGGACCACCGACTCTTCTCCAACAGCCAATCAGAAGCAGGTAATGAGCCAGGCGCCTGCCCCGCCCTCTGCTTATTAATTAATTAATTAATTAAGCCCCCTCAGCCCGGGGAAGTCTCTGGCCAGAGTGGGAGGGCGGAGGGGCGGGGCGGGGCAGGGGGTTGCCCAAGGGCGGGACCAAAGCCTAGAGCAGATGGAGGCTGAGGGGCGGGTCAGGAGACGACGTCCGCCCCTGGGGAGTGGAGCGGGGGCGGGGCCTGGAGGGGCGGGGTCATGAGGGGCGGGGCCAGGAGGGGTTGAGGCCGAGGGGGCGGGGAGCACGCAGTTGAAGGGCTAAGCGACTATGAGGCCCGAGGCTTTGAGGGGCCAAGGCCCCACCCGGCTCCGCCTGGGACTTGTCACAACCATCCCAGTGCCTGGGGGAGTCAAGGTCACGCACATGGGGAAGGCGATCCTGGCCGGTAGTGGGGGTGTGGTCACACGGGGGTTGGGGGCCGCCGCTAGCTGCCGGTTACATGAGGGGAGTCACAGTGGGGGAGGGGAGGGCATCCCGCGGATGGTCAGGTTCGGTAGGCGTCAGGTCACGTGGGGATCCCAGGACGCCTAGGTCATGTGGGGGGGTCACAGTGGGCCCCCCCATATAGGCGGACAGATTACTGAAGGGTCATGGTCACACATGGGGGATCATGTGGAGGTCACGGTCATTTACGCAAATGGGGGAGGTCATGGTCAATAACTCGGGTGGTCTCCCGCGTGTCCCTCCCTCCACCCATCTCTGCCCACCTTGTCACCCCATACTCAGTACACTCCAGTGATGCCACCTCCTCCCCTTGGGCTGTCTCCGCCCCCATTCCCTTGCGCCCTTTCCCGGGTCTGGTTTCCCCAATAGATGGTGAGGGCCTGCCACAGAGCACAGCAGCAGCGCGTCCAGCAGGCGCCTAATCAGCGCCCAAGGGGGGGGGCCTCGCTCTACCGTTTGGTGAATTGTCAGCCCCCCAAAACACACACACACATTGGGCACCAGCCAGCACCCTTCCCTCCCCCTCCGATACCAAAGAGCTAAAAATGGGGGGAGGGAGTCAGCCCAACTGGTCAGTATGTTGGGAAAAGTCTGAAAACACATGGGGTGTGGAACACCTCCTCCCCCAGCGTGTATCTCTGTGTGTGTGTGACTGTGTGACTGTGTGACTGTATGTCTGTGTCTGAGTGTGTTCTGTGTATGTATACCTGTGTGAGGGTTTGTCAGTGCATTTGTGTGTGTGTGTGTGTGTGTGTATCTGTGTGACTGTATGTCTGTGGCTGAGCGTGGACTTGTGTGTATGTACCTGTGTGAGTGTGTCTGTGTGTTTGTGTGTGTGTATGTCTGGGTATATTCTGTGTATGTACTGTGTGAGTATGTATGTATGTGTGTATGTGACTGGGTGAGCGCATGTCTGGTTGTCCCCCACTTCCCCATTGTCACCCATGCTGAGGGATCTTTCTCCTTCTAAGGCTGTCTTCATGGCACAGCGGGACTCCCCCACTCAGTGGGTGCCCGCTCTTTCCAGTTCTTTGTCACCATGAAAAAAAAAGTGCTACCAGATATATTTTGGTGTCTGTCAGGGACCTCTTTGGGATATAGGCCCGGTAATGGAGTGGATAGACATTTTAGTCACTTTATTTGCATAATTCCAAATTGCTTTCCAAAAGCCCATAGCATTTTTCTCTCTCTTGCCTTTTCTCTCCCTCCCTCCCTCTCCCCCTCTCTTTCTCTCTCTCTCTCCCCCTCACACTCTCCCTTCCTCTTCTCTTTTCTCTCTCCTCCCCCTCTCCCTATCCCTCCATCCCTCTCTCTTGCAGGCGGGATTGCTGGAGGCATCGAAGTCTGCATCAGCTTCCCCACAGAATACATCAAAACTAGCTGCAACTGGATGAGAGGACCAAGCATCCCCGGTACAGCAGTATCGGTGAGAGAATCTCAACCCTGCCCCCTCCCTTGGCCACAGCCCCTGGACAGCCTGCCCTCCCGGTGACCCCCCAACCCCTGGGCAGCCTGCCCTCCCCTGTGGTGACCCCCCCTGGCAGTGTATCCCCCCTTGGTAACACTCCCTCCCCCCTGTTGTCTCACAGCTCACTGTGTGAAGCTGACAATTCAGGAGCACGGCTTCCTGGGTCTCTACCGGGGCCTCAGCTCCCTGTTCTATGGCTCCATCCCCAAAACAGCAGTGAGGTGAGTGCCCGGGAGTCCCACAAGGCAGCTGGAGGGTCAGTCCCTGTCCTGCCCATGCGCCCCCACACACACCTTAATTAGAGGGAGTGGGAGAATGGATTTCCTCCTCAGATGGACATTCCCTGTCTAGACATTCCCTTGTGAAATGGTTCCGGAAGCTGAGACAGCCGGAGGCACTGGATTTGGAGTCAGAAAGAAGTGGGTTTAAATCCTGCCTCAGTCACTTCTTAGCTGGATTGCGGTCTACACCCTCTCAGCCCCAGTGTCTTCAGCTGTAAAATGGAAATAAAGCACCTCCTCCCCCGATTGTTGGGAGGATAGCATGAGATGAAGTGTGAAAAGCCCCGGCTAGCCTGCAAGGGCTTTCCCAGTCCAGTGTGGAGGGCTCCCAGGGCGCATTGGCCCTTTTTCCGGGTCAGAGGCCCAAAGAGATGGATTTCTGCTGAGGGCTGAGGGCCGGGTCAGCTTTTCTCCCAAGCTCTGTGTTGGCCCCGGCTCGGATTCAGTCAGAAGTCAGTCCCAGAATTCTAGAGTGATGTTGGGGCCGGCAGAGATCCCAGCCTCCCCACGTGCCCCAGCCAGAGCTGGATGAGAGGGCCCGTGGCCACCTCCTCCTGCTGAGGCAGCTCTCATGGCTGAGGTCACCCCCCCCAATCCTCGACACTGTTAGGCTGACAAGATCTTGTCCGTGGGAAGGAGACAAAGACCAGGCCTCGCCTGCCCCCTCCGGGGCCTGCTGGGTCCGGAGGGAGCCCTTCATTGGGTCAGCCACAGACGCGGAGACGGGCACAAGGGAGCCCCCTGATGGCACAGCGCTCTCTGCAGGTTTGGCATGTTTGAATTCCTGAGCAGCTATGTCAGAGATGCCGACGGCAAACTGAGCAATGCCAAGAGTTTCCTCTGCGGCCTTGCAGCGGGTGCCACCGAGGCCATTGTAGTCATCTGCCCTCTGGAAACCATAAAGGTTGGTGTGGCCGATCTGGGTGGGAAGGCCTCGACGGACGTGTCCGTGAAATGGGCACAAGTGGGAGCTGAGTGTGGCCCCAGAGTGGGGACCAGCCCCCCGGTTGCTGACTTTCAGGAGCTCAGCAGTCAGGAACGCTGGTTTTGGGTAGGTCTTGCAGCTGGACAGAGCCCAGGCCCAGGATTGAAGAGGAGGAGGGTGGGGAGCAGGATGGGACCCAGGGCCTAGCCTTCTTTAGAGTCCTCATGATTATGTGATCACTTACAGAGGCCAAGAGGAAAATGGGTGCTGCTGGTGGCTGGGGGAGGGCCAGGAGGGAGGGAGAGAATTGGGAACTCAAGATTGTTTCTAAAATGAAGGCGAAAAATAATAAAATTTTTAAAAATCACAGAGCCCCCACAATGCCGTGGGGAGGTGGGCCAGCCACCCAGGCAGAACCGTGATTCTGAGGCAGTCCACTTGATGTCTATCCATGAGCCCAAGGGGAGAAAGCCTCATGATCAAAAGCAGGGAATGACTTGTTTGGGGGACACTGCCCTGGTCAGTGCCATCACAGAGTCCACACTCTCCTTCCTCTCCTCCCTCTTCCCCCTGTCGTTCACTCCCTCTCCCTTCCTCTCCTCCTTGTCTCCCTCTCTCCCCCCTCTTCCTTCTGCCCCTCTCTCTCTGGCTCTGCCTAGGTCTTTTTCTCTGCCAGCAATGCTTCTGTCTCTGCTCCCCCCTCCCCTCCCAGGTTGCTAGCAGCCTCTGGAGAGAGGACTTTGCCTTTGGTCACTTGCAGAGGTGGCGGGGCACATCCCTCCCGTTTGTCCAGGGCCCTGTGTCAGGCCAGGGATTCCTTAGCCGCCCCTTGCCTAGCGCCAGCCTGACATTCTTCAGCTCAGCAGGGAATGTCAGACTCAGCCTGGAAAGTTTAGATTTGACCCTCAAACAAAAACATCTCAGGAAGGAGAGTTTATCGTTTGCCAAATAAACAGGCATCCAGGACAGAGGCTGCCCCATTGGGCCTTGGTGCTGGAGGGAGGAGGCATAGGGCCACTGGCCACCTTGAGGCCAGTCACGGGGAGACCAACTTCCCTTGTGTATTTACAGGTGAAATTTATTCATGATCAGACATCCGGAAACATCTGATACCAAGGATTCATACGTGGAATTCGTGAGATTGTGCGGGAAGAAGGTACTTTGGGAGCCCCTGCTGAAGAGGGGCAGTCCTGACCATGTCATTCCCCTCTTTGCTTCTCCCTGGGCTCCTGGGCTGGACTGCAGAGACCCTGGCCCTGGGGGCTGGAACGGCCTTCAGCAGCCCCTCCCTGCCTATGGCAGCATCTTGGG